TGATAAATAATACTTAGCTCTTATGTAAAGCTTTTCAGCATGACATCTCAGAGCACCTCACACTCTTTTTAATGTATTTATCCTCACAACACCCTGCAGTACTGTTATCCCCATTGCATAGATGGAGAACTGAGGCAGAGAGACTAAGTGACATACCCATGGTCACACAGGAAGTCTGTGGCAGAGCAGAGAACTGGACATGGGTCTCCCAAGTTCTAGGCTAATTTCCTGATCACTGGACATCCTTCCTTAGGTGCCAGACAGGCCTTTGCAATACAAGAACCCTACATTGACCTGCCTCAATCCTCATTTGAAAAGATCACCTTTCAACCTGAATGATTTCTCCTCTTTGCTGGTTCAGACCTTCGGCCTCTTCTGTGAGACTGGCAAGGATGATTTTTTTGTTGTTGTTAATCGTGTGAATAGAGGCTCACTGATTTATTTATTCCATAGAAGACAACTGAACAGCGCTTACATGAGGACTGAATTATCATTCACTTTCCCTGGCTGAATTTGCACCTGTTACCCAGAGGTATAAAAGCTTCACTCTTCAGTTCCAAGCTTCAGGGCTATCATTTACCTCTCACATCTGCTTTACAATTTTAGCTCCAAAGCATTAGAATGAAAATTCCTAATCGCTTTTGACTAAAGATTTGATTTATGTAGCTAGAGCCCAATTTATCAACATAGATCTTTCTGTACAGGAATATCCCAGTACTCTTCAAAACAATGGTTTGCTTCCTAGTTTTTTCTTTTAATTCAGGGCTAAGGGATAGTGCTGGAATGAGAGTACTTAATCAAGTCTTTCATTCAGCCACAAAGCAGATAAAACAATACAGGGCAAGCTTCTCCCTACAGCCCTGCCAGAGATTCTCAAATTTCTTCTGGAGGAACCCCCTCTAGGAGGTCAAAGGACAGGGACTGGGCTGTGATCCTCCTCCCACTGATTCCATGGGGTCCTAGTAGTTGGTGGGCCATGACCATTTTAGTAAGGCAGGCAACAACTCACTCTATGCTTTTGGTGGTCCAGAATGGCATCCTCGGTGCAGCAGGACCTTGCACATACGGTGCAGGCGAGGTCATGCAGTATGGAGATTTGTTCTACAAAATGGTGTCCTGGGGGCCCGATGGAATCGGCCCATCGGTCATAGCCAGCCCATGGTCTGCCAGCGGGACAGTACACAACAGTCAGGCATGCAGTGCGTACCTTGTATACACACACAGTAAGCCACTAGGTCTTAGATCTCTGCCCTTGCCTTCTCCGAGTGCCTTTGGTGGTGGGATTTAGTGGTGTAGACTCCCATCTGCTATTTACCAGTTAGATGCCACCCTTTTGTTTCACATGTCCTCACATAGCTCCTGAAGCTCTTCTAGCTTCTGCAAACCAGGTCCGGGTAGAAATAGTGACTGAGAAGTTAAAAGTTCTAGGTCCCATTACCAGCTTCTGGGCCATTCTGTCCTTCCTTGTTTTCAAAGAATGATACTTGCCTCATCACCTCTTCCTGGCTATCACTGGTCTGCTGGGTTTCCCCAGGCAGGTGCTGGAGTTTTGACTCTTTGTTTCCTGCTTTACTTAGAGCCAAAGGAAATTAAGGCATTTTCACCCGGTGGCTCAATAGTGCTACATTGCACGACCCCTGCTTAGAGAATAGGCTAGCTCTGTATTTTTATTGGAATACACCAAACTTGCTGGCTTTCTCTTCCTTCCAACCAGGGTTTCCTGAAGTTTCTAATCCAAACTCTAGATGGCTAAAGTTTACATCTCCATAGCTGTGAGCTCGGGGCAAATTCTTACAGTGCAGGATTAAAAAGAATCCTGAAAACCATGCCGTTCACTGGCCTGCCCAGGGTGGGAGCCTTGATTAAAAAATAATAATGAAACCATTAACTGCAGCTTGCCCCCTGTTTCCAATTGCTCAGCAAAGGGAGGGTGGAAAGGGGTTTAATGTTAAAACCCGTACAGCATCCGAAGGGCAGAGAAAAGGGAGCAGGGGCTGCCCATAGGGGGGCGTAGTGGAGGTCAGCAGGGCTCAGAGAAGGGAACCTATGGGCGGGTTGCTGGGGGTAGAGCCAGTACAGCTGTCAGGGTCAGAAGGAAGAGATGGCTGTTAGACGGGGCAGAGGAAGAAGTTTGCAAGACTTAGTAAGGGGGGGGCTGAGGGATGCCTACACCGTGGTTCAATCCCGCCTCTCTCTGGCGCTGCCTGTGCCCAGGGTAGCCAGGATGCCTGGGGACCTTCTACTTCTCCTCCCTGTGCAAACACGAAGGCGAGGTTACGCTGCCGAGCGGGTTCCCCTTCCGTGACCTCCTTGGAGGAGGTGCTGGGCGCGGGGCTGTGGATGGAGGCTCAGGCGGGACGCGGCCCTTTTGCAGGGCGGCGGACGATGCGCTTAACCCAGCCTCGGCCACAGCCCCGCTCGCTCCGCCTGTCGCTGCCTCCGGGCGCCCCGGGACCCGCTCCCTGCCGGGGCAGGGCAGCCAGTGCGCTCAGGCCCTGCAGAAATAAAGGCCCGGGCTGGGGGTCGGTCCCCCGCGGCCCTGCGCCTTCCCCCGGCTTGGCGCCAGCAGGGAGGGGGTCAGCGCAGCGCAGCGCCAGGCAGGTGCGCACCTGTGAGAGCCTCCTCCGGAGCAGCTAGTGCAGCGGGCTGGAGTGTTCCTCGGTGACGGGCTACGCCGGCGGAGGGCAGGGATGAGCC